AGCACGATTTAGAGAGAGGATGAAGGATTCGGGAAGTGAAGAGAGAGGCCTGTGGGCAAGGGCCGGTCCCACAGGCTTGGGGGGGCCCTCAGGGGAGCCCCCGACTTCTCTGTGCATGCGAGGAGGTCCCTGGGGGAGGTGCGTGATCTCCCGCAGGTCCAGGAGAGCTCTTGGCTGCAGGACAGGCGCAGGGGGGCGAGGGCAGGAACAGCGAGGCGGCTCCCGCTGGGCCGGGCGACAGGCTGCCGGGCATGAATGGCGTGGGAGTGCTGGAAGTGAGGCCAGGTGGGCAGTTTGAGAAAGCTTCCAGGAGATAGAAGGGGTGGGGAGGCAGGAGGCCGAGGCCCCAGCTCCTGGGGAGGCGGGTGGGTGGGCCCCTGGGGGCCGCCAGGCTCACCGGGGCCTCCGGGGCTTCTCTCCCGGCCTCTCCGCAGGGTCCACACCGTTCCCCTACAACCCCCTGATCATGCGGCTGCAGGCGGGGGTCATGGCCTCCCCGCCCCCGCCTGGCCTCCCCGCGGGCAGCGGGCCCCTCGCCGGCCCCCATCACGCCTGGGACGAGGAGCCCAAGCCGCTGCTCTGCTCGCAGTACGAGACGCTCTCCGACAGCGAGTGAGGCTCAGAACGGGGTGGGCCGGCGAGCGGCCGGAGCAGCGGGCGGCTGCCGACTCCCCCACACCGAGGAAGGAGCCCCTGAGTCTGCCTGTGCTCCCGTCTGTCCGTCCGTCCGTCCAGAGCCGGCATCCTTGCCTGTCTAAAGCCTTAACTACGACTCCCGCCCCGGCTGGCCCTGTGCAGTGACCTTACTCAGGGGATGTTTACCTGGTGCTCGGGAGGGGAGGGGCCGGGGAGGGGGCACGGCAGGCGTGTGGCGGCCACGCGCGCACAGCCGGGGCGGCCAGGGACCCAAAGCAGGACGACCACGCACCTCCCACGCCACTGCCTCCCCACCTAACGCATTTGGAACCAAAGTCTAAACTGAGCTAGCAGCCCCCGCACCCGCCCTCTGTCCCCATCCCGCTTAGCACTCTGGACAGACGGACACAGGCCCTGTCCAGGCCCCAGCGCTCTTGTTCCAGTCCCCACGGGCTGCCCCAGCCGACGAGACCGCTGGAAACCAAGTCAGGCCAGATGGGCGGGCGACAGGGCCGGGTGCGGCCTGGGGTGAGCAGCTGCTCCGAGGAACTGGACTGTTTTTTTCATACATCGTTGCCGCAGCGGTGGGAAGGAAAGGCAGGTGTAAATGATATATTGGTTTACAGGGTATATTTTTGATACCTTCAATGAATTAATTCAGATGTTTTAAGCAAGGAAGGACTTACCCAGTATTATTGCTGCTGTGCTTTCGATCTCTGCTTACCGTTCAAGAGGCGTGCGCAGGCCAACAGTCGGTGACCCCATAGTCCGCAGGACCGAGGTGGGGCAGGGGCTGCCAGCTCTCGAGCCCCCCTGCGTCCTCCCTCCCTCCCTTCCTTGGGCAGAATGAATTTGAAGGGGTTTCTGTGACCGCCATCTGCGCACGGCGGTGGCGTCCTGTCATTTACACACGTTCTTCTCATTAAAAAGCGAATTATACTCGACTTACAGAGGCTCCTTCTCTATCTTGGCCCTGGCAGCCAGGAGGACAGGCGACTGGGCCCGGGGAGGGGG